ACATTTGATTACGTACATCGATCGTTTTCGTATAAATCGCTGGGTATATACACAAACGTTCTCTGCACAAGATATAAAAGACTTGATATAATAAAAAACTTACAAATCCAAACTGAACATTTATAACAAAAAGCTTTCTATATGAGAAAGTTTCGACATAAGAAAGATTTTGATTAGACCCAGTGACTTTATTATATCAAGGCTCTCTTGTATATAAATTATGATTTCGCGTTTCTACTATAAACCTCCATTTTCACAATCTACTTTCTTTTCAAATTGTTTTTTTCGATTCTTAATCATTAAATCACTTATTTTCTTCGTTTTGATTTCGCAAGTTTTGGCACTAAATCCAATAATAATCAAAGGAAATAAATTTTTTGATTCAATTACAAACCAACGATTTTTTGTAAAAGGAGTAGCATATCAACCACGTGGACTAGGCGTAGAATATGCGGATCCATTGGCACGATCTGAGGCTTGCAAACGTGATGTTAAGTTGATGAAAGAGTTGGGTTTTAATGCCATACGTGTTTATGAGGTAATTTTTTATAAATAATACTTATTTCTTTTTGACATGAAATGTCATTAAATAATTTTATTATCAAAGGTTGATAACGATAAGGATCACGATACATGTATGAATTACTTTGCAAAAGCTGGTATATACCTAATTCTCGATCTAGCTACCATAAAATCTAGCATAAACCGTGATAATCCACAATGGTCATTATCACTCTTTCAAAATTATATTGCCACTGTTGATGCATTCAGCAAATATCCAAACACATTGGCATTTTTTGCTGGTAATGAAGTCACGAACAATAAATCTAATACAGAAGCGAGTTCATTTGTTAAGGCTGCGATAAGGGACATTAAAGAATATATTAGGGTGAATGCAAAAAAGAACAATGGACGAATTATACCAGTAGGATATTCCAGCAATGATGACCAAGACGTTAGAATTCCATTGAAAGAGTATTTTAATTGTGGAAATAAGAGTGAGCAGGTATTAAAGTTCATGTTAAAAGTTTTTATTAATAAAAATTGTTAACTAATCTTTAAATGTTTTGTAGGCGGATTTTTACGGAGTAAATTTATACGAATGGTGTGGAGATAGCACCTTTGAAACTTCTGGATATGCGGATAGGACCGGAGAATTCGACAATTATAACATTCCTGTTATTCTTTCCGAATATGGTTGCAATGTTGTAATGCCTCGTAAATTCACTGAAGTTTCAACAATCTATGGTTCACAAATGACTTCAGTCTGGTCAGGCGGAATAGTTTATGAATGGTCACAAGAAAGTAATTCATATGGTCTTGTAGAAATTGATAAAGACGGTAATGCCAAAAAATTGCAGGACTTTATAAACCTTCAACAACAATTTTCTAAAATAACAATTCCGTCGAGTGGCACTTTCACACAAAAAAATGATGAATCTTCAAAGTGCCCTCCTCAATCAGAAAATTGGAAGGCGACTACGAATCTACCACCAACTCCTATGAAGAATGTTTGTGAATGTATGGTCTCTTCGCTTTCTTGTGTTGCGTCATCGAATGTTATGAATGATCAAAGATTAATTGATGAAAATTTTGGACTAATTTGTGGAATGGTCAAATGTGATGATATTAATGTTGATGTCAGTTCGGGTAAATATGGTAAATACTCGTATTGCAGCTCGGAAGATAAGTTATCTTATCAATTTGATGTTTATTTTAAATATCAAAGGAGAAATCCCCTTGCTTGTAACTTTAAAGGTGCTGCTATAATTGTTAAAAATGATAAGAATAAAGGAAATTGCGGTGAGAATAAAACTAGTAATGATAATCCTAATGTTCCAAGTAATAACACAGTTGACAGTGGTGACGATAAAAAGAAAAGCGATGCGACTGCTTTAAAGAACTTTGGAAACTTTATGGGAATAATGACGATTTTTGTTAGTTTTATTAATGTATATTGAACAATATGTGTGTCGTTGATATTTGAATCCGTAATTAGAGTTAATAATGTTAAAATTTTATTTATATATAAAAATGGCTCGAATTATTGATAACTGTAATATTTACAGTCTAAAATTATAACAAGGCGACATCTATAAAGATATATAATACCATATGGCATTGCCTTTAAGGCTTTAAGGTCACTGTTTTTATACAATATGGTACTAGTTTAACGTAAATTATGGATGCCTCCCAAGAATTTCCTAATAAGACTAGATTTAGAATGTCTCTTCAAGTTCTTTCACCCAATTCAGGAAACCCATCACCTAATAGCGATAGCCACCCTCGTCACCGTCCCCATCACCGTCACCGTCACCGTCACCATCACCATCACCATCACCGTCATCGTCATCGTCACCGTCACCGTAATTGTCACCGTCACCGTAATCGTCACCTTCATCGTCACCGTCACCGTAATCGTCACCTTCATCGTCACCGTAATATTGTCGTTTTTCCAATTCTTCTTCACAACCTTCAATTTCATTGCGTTCTTCCAATTCATAACGCCTCTCAAATTTGTTATCATGACGTTTATTTAGATTATAATTATCAAAATGAGTGCGACAAGAACTTCCATCTCCACGTTCCGAAATAGAATGATATCGTGAATACAGATTAACTAGTGATGCTGAATTGGTTATCAGAATTAGGCAGGCAGTGATTAACAAGAATAAAGTAGGAAATTTACAATTCATTAAAAATGCCATTTTTTTTATTAATTAGGTTTTTGGAATATTAAAGGAAGATATGAAGAAAGAGAGGTAGGATTTAAAATTGAATGCTTAATGCTTTAGGGAAACGTTCTATTGAAAATTTTTTGACGAATTCTTTTAATGAAACAATTCGGCTTTGAAATCTAGTCTTTTTATATTTTATTACAATGTTATGAATATAATGTATCATAGAATTATTTTTATTTCTTTCGTAAAACGCCTATAAGTAAATTATTTAATTTATGTATATTTATATTTCATATATCATTTGAACTTAATTGATCACTCGTTATAAATATATCTGTATATCGATCTTGGGTGAATGATCAGAGATCAAATCACAATTCCTACCGCCGATACAACCTTACCAACACAGTTATGACTAACATTAACCTTATCGTTATCTAGTGTTCCGAAAGAACCGAATCGGCGGATATTTTTAAAAATCCGAACCCGATCCGAAAAACAAAGTCGGATCCATGTAGGGTGAGTGGCACGGAGGTCATTGGCATGCCAGGGTGGCATGCCTATGGTGGCATGCCATAGGCATGCCCAATGCCCAGATTGCCTATAGGCATGCCATTTATATATATTC